AGTACAAAGCAAAAGGAGCAAGTCACCTGCAAGACAGCACGGCAGACTCGTCCTGCCTTGTGTCTGCAATAGAAATGGACTGGGGCAAGGGCTCTGCATTTCTCTTACACAGCCTTAAGCTGTTTCAAAGAGTTCATTCCAGTTTCAAGGCAAAGAATTTCCCCAGCAAGTCTCAGGATGGCTCAAAGCACTTCTAAGCACTGCAAAACCTCAAACACAAACCTGGGGAAATCAATGACGCTGCGCTTTTCTTTGGTGTTTTATTCATAACCCTTTAAGGGGTCCATTAAGAAAAAGACTTTACAGGGAGAACACTAATATTTTCAATTGATCTTCCTAAAGAGTACAGCTGAAGTCATTGGCAAGATAACATGGGCAGAGTCCATTCGATGGTGAACAGAGCCCCTCGGGTGAATCCCAGACACATTTGCCAGCTAAAACCAGCAAAAGAAAGAGCTCGATGTGCTACCTCACCTAAAACAAAACTCTTTGCATGTGACAGCTCCTGTGCCAGTCCTCAGGTGACATCCCGCCCTCTCCCAAGTGATGGAAAGGAGATAGCGGAGGAGCTGCCAACGGGAACAATGGAGTTTAAACCAGTTGCCCAAACCCTTATCGAAGATGTGATTCACAAAGAACCCCAAGGCCTTAGAAGATGTCATCACTGCCTGCCGTTATCAGCCGCTCTCTGTCGAGGGCAGGGGGCTTGCTTTGACATTTATCCCCGGTGCAGCCCGCGCGCCCATCCGGGCTTGATAAAATGGGGATGCCACCACGCCGCGGGGCAGCACCTCGAGCCGTCCTCCCACCTTGGCTGGGCGACGCGGCAAGCATTAACGCCTTTCAGTCCAGAAGGACTGCTGTAATTTCAAACCCAGCTGGGTTTTTTTTTCATTCACTTATCTGTTTTCTCCAGGTACAAACCCCTAAAGGCGCTCAGTCCTCCCCCAGTGCTCCCAGCGAGCCCCCGCAGCTGGAGCCAGCTGCCACGCATACACCGCCTGGAAAAGAAACCTACAGAGAAATCTGCATTTCCACCGCAAAACCTCTATCCACGGACTTTCTGAAATCTGCTCAGTGCACATTTAGGTCATTTGTCTTGAGCCATTCTTCTGCCAGCCACCATTTGTCCCTCTCTTCCCTCCTTCTGTCAGCTACTCTTTCATTCCCACTACGGCACAGAGCATCCCCCAAACGCAACCCTGCGTTTAACGTATACCCCCCAAAGCTCACCCAAGCGCATTTCAAAAAAGCAGGTTTTTTTTTCCTCGCATGGGTTTAAAACAGCCTTAAGTTGACAACAACAATAACCTGCGTTCACTTCCTTCCTTCCTCTGCTCCCAGTGATTTTAAGCCTCATTTTTTTTGTTTGTAAGTCAATAGTGGCAAAATTCCTAAAAACCCCTGGGTGAGCACCAGGAGTTTCCAGTACAGACCCCAACCTGCACGGACCAACTAAATACTGCTGCTCTTAAAACCTCAGCAGTTTTTTTTGCCTATTTTTCAGAGATGACTCTGCCAAGCACACGGCACGGCTCAATTAACGAAGTGGCTTAATCCAGCGGGGTGATAAATAACAGGGGAGCGAACAGGTCATTGCAATTCACTTGAGTAACCAGAATCCCTATCTGCCGCTTGGTTTTTTTCCAATCCCTGCCTGCATTAGTGACAGATTTTAATTGCCTATTCCCAAATAGCCCGACTGCAGCCGCTCTGTGCAGGCAAGGACCGAGTCGACGAGATTTACTGATACCCGCAGCCTTGCAATTAAGGAGGAGAGACTCTCCTGCGTTCCTGCTCCGAGCGTGGCACCCCAACACGTGTCCCCTGTGCACCCCAGCCCTCTCCAAGGCAACGGGCTATTTACTGCGATCGTTTTCTCCTACAAGCATCAGAAAATACTAATGCAAATCTAGATTTTTCCCTTTTCCAAGCTCCCCTCACTGCTGGGAGGAGGGAAGGCATTCCCCCCGCCCCGGCTCACTAACGGTTGAAGAGCTTCTACCAGCATCCTACAACCAGAGCAGGGCCGGTCTGCTGCGAATTCACAGCGATGCCCTAAACTTCAGTGAAACTCTGGGCAGGCCACAAAAATCTGCTTTCCCTGCCCTCTGGCAGCACGAAGCCTACGGGAGGTTTGTCCCAAAGGATGGAGCTAGCAAACCCCTGCCCAAGGCACAGCCCCCCCTTCCTTCCTCCCCCCCATGACGCGCAAGCGGAGCAGTCCACAGGGGATCCCAGAGCTCCAAGGAAACTTCATTTTTAAGACATTTCCTTAAAACAGCAAAAAGCTGCTTTGCAAAAGACAAATAATTCTTTTAATGCTGGGAGTTGTTAAAAGAGGGAAACGAACACCAGCAGGGACAGAGGAACGACGGGGAGGGACAGGTTAAAAATGCAGGGAAAGGGTTTCAACGCGGAAAAATTGCAAAATTAATATCTGGAGACGAAGCAACGGCAGAGGCTGGATGAAGGAGGGCATTGAGGAGGCACACGAGGGCGAGGAGCGAGTCCCATCCCACCCCGCTCTGCTAAACCCGACCCTGATAAACTGGCAGGAGCTCAAAGAAGAGCCATAAAAATAATGAGAGGGCTGGAAGAGCTGACACGCAGGAAGATTAAAAGGAACTAAATACGTATAGCTTGGCTCGGTGACAAAAGCTAAGGGGAAAGGGAAGGCAACAGCTGGAGACATCCGCGGGTCTTGACCGTCCTGGGGAGGGGGGCATTGGGGCTGAACCCCCCAGGGGAGCACCATCCTCGCTCCCCCCCGCCGGGGCCAGCGCTGCAGCCGCTGCATTCCTTCCCTCTAATACAATCCCTAATTTAACAAGTGGAGAGGATCCGGGCAAACACATTTGGGGGGGGACGCATTACGTCAGGCGCTAATTTAGGTCCTTGCTAAGCTTCGTCCCCGTGCACGCGTCCGGCTTTCAGCACACGAGTCGGCCCCGGCTCTGCTTTGGCATCTCCCAGCCCTGACACTCAGCGCAGCTCAAAACCGAGGGGAGCATCGCTTATTCATTCGTGATCAACGGGATGATTCTTTTACCATTTCTAGAAAGCTTACCATTTTTTCTCCCTAGCCACTGAGTGCTCAACTTCAGCAAATCTTTCTGCAGCTCCAGCATAAAAATAACAACAACAACAACAACAAAAATCAAGTTTTCGGGGAGTCAAGGCTATCTCCAGCATGAGACCCTTTGATGCCAGCACTTGCTTCCTTTTGAAACAAGCATATTTATATCCGTCTCTTCCTTCCTTTAACTTCAGATAATTAATAAATCAAAACCTAAGCATGGTGGAAGATGGTATTTTTAAAGCCGCACGAGGGCTTTGCGTTGAACCGGGACCTGCAGGCGCAGCTGACAGCTCCGCTACTCCCACAGCCGCAGGCACGCGCGGGGACCTCGCAATTAATATTTTATTTGTGCAATTACAGTCATCGGCCCGGAGTATACCGTTGAGTAAACACACCCGAACCATAAAGAGCTGATAAAAAGACAAGGGGGAGGTTTGGTGGGGCACAGCTCCCCGTGGCCGGCAGGTCGGGGCGCTCGCTCTCGGCAGACGCGCAAGCTGGCTCCTCCGCCACAAAGCCAGCCCGGCGGCTTTGGCCGCGCGTTCCCACGCGTCCCAGACAAACGGGCTCTTTGTCCAGGTGCGCACCGAAAGCCACCGGACACCGCGGTGTCCCCGGTCCCAAGCCCAAGCCCCCCCCTCGCCCATGCCACCCCGTTAATCACCCCATGCTTGCAAAGGGCCCTCGGAGGCGCTTTCCTCGTCCAAAGCAGCGCAGAGCCAGCTACGACTTCAGAATTAAATTTTTCTGTAAACTGGTGAGCACCCATAAAAATCGCCCCCCCACCTCATAAATGAAGATGTTTCCCGGCTCTGTGTAAAATCCCGCGTGCAAAGCGGCCGGCGGATGGGGGCTGAGGGCCC